ATTGCTAGAATTTATTTTGTAGATTAGTAAGCAAAATTCTAAATTCCATAGAGCAACACAGTGACACACAGCGAAGATAAAGTATATATAACTCTAAAAGATTTTTGTAGTAGTGAAGCTTTATAACTGTATTCTTAAGTTAAGAAGGTGCTTTCTACATATTTTTTTCTATTGTACTGCTTTCATTTCATCTATTTTAGTACTAAGTTCTAATATTTTAGTCGCAACACAAGACACCGCCCATGCTATTGCTGCAACTACAACTACTGTTGCTATTATAGGATAGCCCGAATGCGACTTGCGACTATTTCAGTTACAAAAAGTGCTGTTGCTGTGCAGTACTATTGTTAAATCAAAAGACATTTTACTCTGTTGGTCAAATCGCTTCATTCTCTCTTCAGACCAAAGATTTCACCTCTTAATTATGTAGTGACTTTTGTTAAAATCGCTCGGGATTTTATCATCATTATTCTCTAACAAAACATTTACTCTTTTACCTATTAAAGTCTTAATTACTCCTTTGCAGCTATATCGAATATCTGTGCACCCTTGTTTGCTTGATACAATGTAAACAAGGAGTGCGTTTGTCTTTATCTATTGCATTAGCATTTGCTCCCGCTGCTATTAAAGTTTTTACTGTCTCTGTATCGTCAGTAAAATGTAAATGGATCATTCCATATTTATCTGCTGCAGGAACATCTGCTCCTCCTGCTCCTATTAGGACTTTTTCTAATCTCTTTACGACAGAACTGAGTAGCTATATGTGGAGGAGTGCATTTATCTTTATCGTCTGCATTAACATTTGCGCCTGCTTCTATTAGAGTCTCCGTTGCCTGTGCACCCTTGATACAATGTGAAGGAGTGCATTTATCTTCATCATCATCTACATTGACATTTCCTTCTAACGGATTTTTCACTATAGCAATATGACTTCTTAACAGCCAAATGTATCTTTGTCCACTGCATTAATTAATATCAATTCCTTCCACCCAAATAAAGCTTTCACCACACTTTTTAGATTATTGTGAACAGCAAATGCAATAGTCCATTTTCACTGCAAATAAGTGATTTACATCAAAATTAGTTTCCTTCCATATGTACTTAAATCCATTTTTTTAAAATTCTCTTTTATTTTTGCAATTGCGTTATCTTTACTTAATTGTTTCCTTATCGATTGCACTTAATATTTCTTTCCATTGTTCATATTCCATTGTCATCCCTTTTTAAATAATGTTTTAATTATCGTGAATTACGACAAAAAAGCCAACTCATTTTTTTTTTCTTTTTTTGAGAGGAAAGATTGAAATCTGTCGTTGGTGAATTGTTACGCTACATGAATGAATGGGAGACAAGCATCATGATAAAATTAGTTAAATTTTTAATTAAATGAAAAAGGCAAAAGAAACCCTGGTTAATATCGAATAGATATTAATATCTATCAAATGCACATCAACATTTCAGTCTAATCATCGCTCTCTGTTCCACCAACTCCTGAGTGGATGTCTAAAAGCAATCAGTATTATCTGTTCCACCAGTAAATAAGAAATTTGTTTCTTTACGCTTGACTAATTTCTCTGATTTTAGTAATTCATTTTCAATTTCAGAGAAAAACTCTTCATCGTTTTCATCAATAGTGGATTTCATTAAACTGATAGCATCGTTATAATCACTTTCTAGCTTTGAAAACGACTCTCTATCATTCTTAATTTTAGAATATTCTTTTAAAATTCTTGTCCCTCTTGGCTGTTTTGCAATAGATTGCCATCCGCAGTTTGAGACTACAACTTTTGGAGGCGCAATTTTGACACTTCCTGATAAAAGAAATAATCAGGAGGTGTCAAAATTGCGGTGTCAAAAAAATTTTAGCTAAGTTCTGAAAATACTCAAGGGTTTTTAGATTTTCATTATGCTTTAGATTCTAATATATTTATTATTAGCAGCAATAACAGTACACAAAATAGAAATTTAACCATATAATAGTTAAATAATGATAAGTAATTGAAAGAAATTTTAAATTATGAAAAGAAGATAGATCCTTCAGAAACCTAGTACCATTTTTAGGACTTGCAGATTCTGATACTCTAACTGGAGTGATATCTATGTAGCATGGTAATAGCTGTCATGCTGCAGTATTTGATAACAAAGAAGATTTGATAGATTTTTCAAAAGCAAGAGTATTTGGCTTTGAAATGGCTAGCTTACTTTGAAATGGCTAGCTTTGAAATGGCTACCCGTTGCTCTTGAGCTGATCTTGACTTATTATTTCACAGGATTAGTATATCTCTTGATGGCACTCCATCTATTATCGTCCTTGATGAGGTATGGACATTAATATATAATCCTCTTTTTGTACCTAAGATAAAGGACTGCTTGAAAGTGCTGAGAAAATTAAATGCCTTTGTGGTTTTTGCTATTCAGAGCGTTGAAGATGCAAGCAAAAGTACTATTAGTAATATAAATGTACAGCAAACATCAACACAGATTTTTTTGTCAAATCTAAAAGCTACTAGTGTCTAACGGAATGTTTTCATGTTGACTGAACGCGAGTACATAATAATCAAGCACACAGATCCAAGTACTAGATTTTTTTTGGTCAAACAAGGGATTAATGCTGTGGTGGCGAGAATAGACTTAAAAGGTTTAGATGATATAGTCAACACATTATGGACGTGCAGAGAGTGTCATACTGTTATATTAAAAGAAGTCGGGGAGGATCCAAAAGTATGGTTGGTTTTTTATATTTTATCAGAAGTAAAAAATGTTTAAGACTAAGCTGTCATTACGGTATTTTTACTAGATATAGATTTTTCACTCTCATGTGCAGTACTTGCAGACAGAGTAAGTGGCACTGATAAGACGAAATTGTTAGCAGATTTAGTTCTGTTGCTAGCATTATCATGCCTCTAACCCTGGCTGTCGGACTTTGAAAACAGTTGCAGCTATTGCAGGAATAGCAATTACCGTGGTTAAAATCCCTTCATATCTAGTTCAAAATTTCAAATATGATTTTTTTAGCTACGTCCATAACGTTTTACGGTTCATGTACCATTTGCGAATTTCCGTCTTTTAAATTTTATGAAAACTGCTATCCTCTCTATGATTAGACTGATCGGAAAGCAGAGTTGACGGCGTAAGCGGACGTGAGCAGTTAAGTTAGAAAGTATAAATTCTACCGAAACTTCTTCGAACTAAAATAAAGACAACCTTTAATCTCATTTACTTGAATAACACAAAGGAAAGTACAGTTTCGGAAACAAAAATATTACTGTGAGCTATGTTAATGTTATTTCTACATGTATTTCTATTAAACGATCATGACCAACGTCTCATTCTTATCGAAATCATCATCAATCATTCTTTTGTTTCTTTCTTTTTTTCTTTTTCTTTTTGTTTTTATTTGGTTTTTGGCAATCGATATTCCTTCTCTTGGAATTTTCTAGAAAACTTTCTCACAATAGGTTAGATTATTTGATCTTCGTTTTCCTTAGCACTTTGAAGCATAATTTTTTTCTGAAAGCTTTTTTCAAAAAACATGTGAAATAGTAATTTCAAGTTGAAGGGTAATCGGTAATAAATAGTTATTTCGGCGAAGTAAAGTTTTGAGAGAAGCATGTAATAGTTAAGTTTCATTATCTGAATCAATTGATATTATACGAAACATTTATAAGATGAAATTTAATGATTCACTGCTTAGCTTTTCTCGGCTCACATTTTACGAAACATTCAGTCTTGAATCTAATATTAATACAGATTGAATTTCTAGGATTAGTGGAATTTTTTTGGCTGTTATGCTGCTTTGAATTGCAACTTAATTGTTTCGGCGTAATGTTTGGCTGTATCACTTCAACTTTGATGAATTCAGCATCGGGGTGTTCAGCAAGGATTTAATTCAACTGTTTTACTCTTTGACTTTTAAAGTGTTAGATTTTTTGTAATAATAATAATAATAGTATTCGTCGCTTCATTTATTTATACCTAGAATGTATTGTATTTTTAATTACTTTATATTGTTTACTTTTTGACTCCTTCGTTTCATTTTCGTATTTTAAAGTTTATTCTTAAATTTGGCATTGTTGATTGCATTCTCACTTTCTTTTATTTATTCGTTATTTCTTTCATAATGTAGCGTTGCTTCCATTGTATTGTTTTTTAATGCAAAATATGCTGTCACTAAGATGATCCCTTATGATCTTTGGCATATATCAAATTTATGAACTGATGAACTTGCCTGCAACTGGAGAAGTCATATGGTGGAGATAGTTCTGTTTTGTCTAGAGGTAAATAATTTTGTGCTCATCACTATGCGATTATGGAATGGTTCGACGAACAGATAAATGCCGGAATGTAGCAGTACAGTGATGGTAATCGATCGGAACAGACAGTGCTGTAGTGGGTTCATCGTAGCTAGACAGTACTGCCAGGGTGAGTATGCCAGCCAGCCAGCCATTGAGTCAGCAACGCACATTGTACTACGTGTCGCGGAGGCTTTATCTACCAGCAAACTATGGAAAATGAAGTCGCCCATGCCAAGACGAACTGATGCTGAAATTTGCATATTTACTAATTTTAGCTTAAATTTAGCATCATATAGTACGCATTATTAGGCATTATGAATTGTGGGATGACTGGTCAGTTACCGAGTTGGTAGGTCAAGAAGATGATTTGGCAAGAAAATAATTCCCAAAGAAATAAATATTTCACAGCTTAGATTTCCCATATCTTTCTGTCGCGTTATGAAAATTAATTGAAGGAATTAATTAGATAAAGTTCTGAGCAGGTAATATTTATTTGATTGCTCTTATTTGAAAAAAATACTTATTGAAAGAAAGAAACATGTTAATCACATTGATAGCGGTGAAAAGAATGAAGCGTTCTGAAGGATTTGTAATCAGAATGAGATTTTCAATTTATTTTTTTGTTTCTATTCAAAAATTAATCTTGTAAGTGCCAATCTCCCGATACCTGTTCAACGAAAAAATTTCCACAAATACATCCATCATTCAGAGCATCGTAGATTTTAAATTTCGTTTCTTTCTTTTATTCTCGGTTGTTCCAAGCTTTGTGCAAATTTTCCGGATCGTTTCATCACATATATTACTTTTGCGACCTAACGCTTTACGCTGTTGGATATGTTTGCTCTTTGCTTCCTGTAATTTAGACAAGTTCACTTCAAAATTTTTAGGACTCAAGACATGGATCTATCGAAAGATAGAATATGATGTGCTAAATCGATGAAAAATACTGAATCCAGCCTTGTTGGAGCTTGTTTTATGGCTTCTCCTCACTTTTTGTTGTTTTGGCTCGACGAGACATCTGTTGATTGCCTGAATGATTAGCTTTGAAAAGGCTGTTTTTGTTCCTTTTTCCATGTCTGATGTTTCAGTTATGTTATAAATCTCATGTGAACGATTTGTAGGAGTCAAGGACAGAATTGCTAAAATTTGCTTTGAAAATAAAGAATTTTATCAAAATTGATCTACAAAGACCTTTTTTCTTTTTTTTTGTTTCTTTCGGGAAGCGGATGGTAGCCAACTAACAAGAGAAATAGAACTTACTACCACAGCAGAAAGCTCACTGCCTAAGAGAACTTACGATTTCTTCCCTCCGCTCATCATTTCTATCCTCAGCTGTGAACATTAAGGATCGCAATACCTGTAAGGAGAAAGCAGTTGTCGCAATGCTTATTATATCAAGCAATTGAGAAGTAATTGCCTTACTTACTTGGTCGCTGTATTCGTGAGCTTTTTCACTGATACGTCGCAATGGACCGATGGGTGCAAGCACTGCGAATGCATCTGAATGCTTTCTTGTATTCGATTAGGAATCAATTCAATCTCTTTATGGAATAATTAAGATTAGAATGTTTTATCTTCTCTAAAAGATAAAATTTATCTCTTTTCTCAAGTCTTTCCCCTTTTCTGGTCATTTTGATCGGCGATCTAATTTGTTGCAATGATCGCATTCATACGATTCTGCAACTGTCCACAATCTCATATGCACTGCTTACAGTCAGAGAGGGTTTCACAGAAATATTACTTAGATGGTACAGCGAACTCATCAACTTACCCCAAATAATAATGCATACCAATACAAACCACTCAGTATGTGTAGAGAACATTCGAAGGTAAAATACAGAAACCAATGAACAGTTGCAAATGACGAAGAATTGATGCAAATAAAGAGTTTTTTTGGTGAAGAATACGAGGATACCGATGGTACCATATGTAATAACAGTAAGTGTTGTGAGTATAGGAGGAGCGGTCTGGAAGCCAATTGCTTTGAATAAGTCCCTGAAATACCTTATTATTCTTATGATCAATATGATAAAGGATAGATTAAGGATAATATGATAAATGATAGTTAATAACATAATTGGGCTAATGTCATCTGAAATTCACTGAAAAGAATTCCTTAACTTTTTAACTCATTAGCTTCTAAACTTCGACATCTCTTGCTTTTCAGTAAATTGAAGAGTTAAGTTCACTGACAAGAAATATTTTATAAAGCGTTCTCTGAAGGCAATGATAATGAGCACTTGTGGTAATAACGCAGTTTGTTGCACGAATGTATTTTTTATAAAGTGACACCACTTTGTACATCGTTCTGATGCAATTAATTAATAATTGATGCTATTTGATTCAGCTTGCCTCTTCCGGATTTCAGATTCAGATACAAGTTGCAGTCACTCTTGGTTGGATAATCTTTACCGGTTGTTATTCTGATTTATGTTTGTAATTCGGCTTTTAGTGCAAAATTTATTATAGCTAGCATCAACACGCATCCGATTCCATTTATCTGTGAATTTAAACATACTACGTAAAGCGATTCGAGCTACTGTGATCTAGAAGCATATTGATTGGAAATTGTTCCAGAAGCAGTCTCAAGTTCCATTTTTGCTTGACATTCACCAAGATCAATCCCCCTAGAGAATTCGACCGGCGAATCTCAGTGATCTCAATTACAATTGCAATTATTCCGCAGCATTCGACAAGTCTTTCACTATTAAATAGATTTTTCTCTGTTTTAAATCATTACCCATAAATATAAGATAACCAACTTATCACTTAATGCAATGACAGTGAAGAACATTCGCTGTGGTGTTTCGTTCGAATCATCAAATAGAAGAAAGTAAAGGTCAAATGAAGTCAATAAAGTTCCATTGCTGTGCAATCCAATTTTCTGACTACTTGCAAGCTTTGAGAGCTCTAGCCATCCCGTCGACGATTTCATTTTCGGTTGTATGATTATGGACCGGATCGAACTTATAATAGAAGACAGAATTCGAATCCTTTTTGGTATGATATATACCAATTCAAACAATTAGCGTCAACATTATATTAAAAGTGACAGGAATCAGCAATTTCTCAACCTGAAAATACATCTCACTATCTCCCCAAACAATATTTGGCTGTAATTTCAGTTCAAGTGTAGCCAGTCGCTCCATGATGTATTTGCTAATGATACTCGACAGTGACAACTATCACTTCATTTCATATGCTGTAACACCATTTTAGATCCCTCTCATTTCTCCTCCTCATGTTCTCCTTCCACCTATATCTTCTTTTTGACATTTTCAGACTTAAGCAAAAACTTGAAAATCAAGCGCAGTCTCACCTCAGCGCACGACAATAAAAAGTTCAGCGACCGCAAAGCGCCCCTACAGAGAATAAAGATGGAGTTATTTTTCCTTCTCACTCTATTAAGCCTGTCTTTCATCTAGCTAAATATTTTGTAAACTTTAATTTTAAATAATTTGCATAAAAAATATGTACGGGTATGATTTCCTCACCGTCTGAACTCTCTAAATTTCTCTTATATTTCAAAGAGATATGACCATAGTTATCACATCGTAATACCACGCATAATAATGGGCGCAGAAAGCAGCTGACTTGCCATCCTCTCACTCAATCGATGACTAAAGCACTTATGGGAGCAACAGCTTGTGACAATTGATAGGATTGGTGGTTACTGTGAACCGTAGTGCTTGGGACATTCGTATTGCAACAGTCGAAATGGGTTCAATTAGAAATTTAAGTTGAGCGACCGAATCATAATATTAGCAAAATCAAAGTGACAAAGTTATGTTGAAAAGAACGAAATTGTGTACAATAGAAGTGCTGAAACAGCATTCTAACATCTGACTAAATCACTTATTTGTAAAGCCAAATGGAGATGGAAGCGAATGTCAGTTAGGATCTTAACTATTTTTTAGAAAACAGGAATTCCATGTTTTTTTTTTTTTTCCTGATTTTCGGGCTCCAGAAAGAGCTGTTGTAATCCAGTCTAAGAGCAGCTCATTTCATAACTTCAATTGTGCCACAAAAACCGAAATAATTTGTAATTGTGTGCTAGAAATATTTTTCATCAAATGATTCAAAATGAATGCAAATGAGTGTTATGATGTAATGAACTACTTATCTAATTTTCATCTTTGTTTTTAACTATCAGCTTATCATCAATGGTTAAATACCAAAAACCAATTCACACATTTTCACTCTAATAACTAATATTTAAGGTTTTCCTTTTTTGTTCAGGTAACTCTCTTCACAATCAAAGTATTACAGCACATCTTTGTAAATCACCCATTAGGAAGAGTTCGTTATCCAGTTCTTTCTTCATTTATAGTTCTACACAATAACTTTTTTCATACTCTCGAAGAGCTTTTGCCTTGGCATCTTAAGAACTCTCCTAAACTACAACTCAAGCAACTCCTTAGCAAATCCCATTCAAACCTTGAAACGGTTTCTTCAAACGATCAATGATCGTCTATTGACTAATAATTATCATATAATATTACCATCCATCTTCCATAAAGAACGAACCTTTACAATAATTCTTTGTGAGACACCAAATTACTCAAATCAAGAAACTTCCATGACAAATTTGATGCTACGAATCGGGAAGTCAACAGCTTAATTAAAAGTCCTTCATTGTGAATGGATTATATCTCGAGTTTTGTAGTCTGGATTTAGCGACGAATGCTAATTTTTTGTATAATTCCAAATTAATAGACGAAGCTAATAGTAACTTCTGTATAATTCCAAATTTTTTTTTTAACTTCTCTTCATTGACTTATTTTATACCTTGTTCTTAGTGAACCATTTCTATATAAATTTCTTCTTTCCTTTTGAATAGAATCGAGAATGTTCATAATTGATTCAAGAATACCACGGTTAATTGATTAGCGACAAATCTAATTCTTTTATTTTCCTCGGAAGTCCTAGGTTTTCTGCTATTTACCTGAGCTCTGTCCGCTGTTTGTCATATTTTTTCTCTAACCTCCTCGTTTGATAGTTTATGAATGCTCTTTTGTATCCAGAAGGAAGTGTTACAATAGCGCGTACGTAAATCTGATACTTAGGAAGGATATTGTTCCATCATTTCAATAATACGACGTGAGGAATAAGATTCTAATCATTTTCGACGCATTTAATTGGGTTCATTTAATAAAGTTGTATCTTCACATCTATTGATAGTATCACCGATGGGAACTTCATCGGATGGAAGCATCACCTGAAATTTGCTAATTATTGCTTTTTGACATACATCCACTGCTATTATCAGAAAGAATTTCAACATAAACAATGTTTGATGTTTGAAACAAATTCTAGAAGTTTGGTTGACAAAATGGAGTAACATTTGCATAAAGGGAACTGATGAATAGCTGGGATTAAATGTCATCGTATGGTGAAATATTTAATCAGTTGTGCAGTATTAAATAATCCTGTCTGCTTTGTTTAATAAAATATAGTATATTGAAGGTAAGTAAAATATTGAATGAATTATTTGCATTTTGAAAAAAGTTTCAGTTTTAAATTTTGGTGACGTAAATTAAATGACAATTGGAAATATGTTGGCTTATTTCCAGTATTTATTCTTAGGTACTGCCTGGTAGCTTAATGGCATTTCAGTTGATCATATCTAATTCCATGATCTTTCTTCTCATCTGTTCTTCTAAATTAATTTCTTTACCTAATAATTAAGTTAATAATATTCCATACATATGGCTTTTTTTTTTTTTGCAACAGTAATTCCATTAATATTTGAAAATATATTTGTTTGTTTAATAAAAAATTAACTGATAATACATTACTGATTGAAGTGATGAAGTTAACTCCTATTTATTGTGACATTTGTTTTTTTGTTAAAAAATTACGAATAAATTTGTTACGAAAGGAATTTTCAAATCTACCGCCCAATTTAATTGTGATGATTAAATGCTAATTTTTTCTGTTTTTGCCACCAGACTATGTCACCAAACAGTTAAAAATATAAGGGTATGAGTTGTGACAATGGTTAATTTGTTCATTATACCAGGTAAGTTAAAATAGGGTATAACAATCAGTACTTCAGCATTTGTTTAAATGACCTAATTAATATTTTGTATTATTCACTTCTTTTCTCTTCTGGTGATTTGAGTACTTTGTAAATAATAATAAAAAAAATGAATTGGGTCGCAATTAGTTTTGATGCACTTCAGTTTTTCTTTTAATTTTTAATTGCAAATGAATTTTACCTACTTACTTTAATCACCAATATGTATAGAATTGTAATTTTCGCGAGATATGGCTTAAAGATATCGGAAGATTACTTACTTCAGCATTGTTTAATACTTCGTAATTACGATTGGCACCATTTTTTAGATCATAAGAGTAATTAAAGGTAAGCCAGAAACTTATTCAGTTGTTGACTAAAAAATAAATGCTTGCCTCCGAATATTACTGCCAATTAGTACATTTATGCATTTCTGTGATATTCATGGAATAATAAATAGGGAAGAAATATTTAAAAAATCCAATGGTAAAACAAAATTATTAATCTGTCGCTGCAGTCTGATGCTTCGAAAACGTCCGATTGTTACGTCCTTTTCTCATGCTTGGGAAGAATGCCCAAATTGTGTCCCGTTTTCTAGAATGAAAATTTTTAGTTTTATAACGCCAAAAAAAAAAATAATAATAATTGCAGTTTGTCGCAGATAGAATAATATTCGTGGAATGTATGCTTTTCTGCATACATTCCACGAATTAGAAAAATAAAGCAATTTGATTAAGAGTGAAAGGATATTTTTTCCTCTGTTGATATTTTCAATGTTTGTTGATGTATATTGAAGCGCTATTGTCACCACTGTCTTTAAGCAATTGGTTCTTAGGTCACGTGGGCGGTATTACTGAGTGCAAAAAATATATATATAGCATCTTAATGAATGTGTCTAATGAATTTTGTATTGTCACTCAACGGTCACAGGTGTTTCATAACACATTTCAATTTTATTTCAGGCTAATATGTGCGCTCAAAAATTTGCTAAATTTGCAAACTAACGAAATTTTGTTGGGCAGTGCTCCTTGTGTTCTTGTAGCCCATTCCTGGTGCTGAAGAATTTGCCACAGCGCTCGCACTGACGATGAGATTCATGCGTTTGCTTGTGATTGTAAAGTGATGGTTCATGGAATGATCGCTCACAACCGGGCACTCTACATTCACAGATGAAGGGCTGACCATGTGCTTTTCTATGTGCTATATATTCATCGTAATCTTTTGTAACCATAGTACATCCGCAATAGACACATTCGTAGCTTCGTTCGTCTAAAAAACTCTTATGATATTGGTCTTTTCAATTATTAATCCATGTGAGAAATAGTCATAAAAATATCAGTGCATAAAATAATCTTACCACATTTCATTTCAAATTACTTAAATCATAACAATCTGTTTACTTATCTTCTCATATGTTTGAAACAAAACTTTTGGTATTACTTTTTACTTTTGATGCTATATTTCTAATGGAAAGACCTTGCACAACAAATGATTGTGAATTTTCTGTTGTGGCGGAATGAGGTTTAGTTTTCGTCATTGTTTGTACTCCCAACTTCAAGTAATCGAGTAATGGACAAGTAATTTATTTAAAAAAAAAAAAAAAGAATCTGTCGCGATATTAAAACATCAGTTGTCAATGTATGCTGACTGCTTGCCAGAGGATTTTTGTCATATACAAAAGAAACTGAGGTTAGAAAAATGTCGCAGCATTTTCTGAATTGTATATTGCTGTACCATGGTCAGCGATGTTTTAAAACATATTTCCGCATACATTATATTTTAAATTGAACGTTTTTAAATATTGTTTTTTCAAAAAAAAAAGTTTTTTTTTTTTTTTTCGAATTTAAAAAATATATTCTTCCTACTGAAGAGTTTGCCGCAATCTCTGCATTGATGCTTAGGTTGGTGAGTTTGCATGTGACAACAAAATGATGATATATGGCAGCATCTCCTCCCACAACCAGGCATACTGCATTCATAAATAAAAATTTGATTGTGCGTTCCCTTGTGTGTTACGTATTCTTTGTAATTTTCCGTGATCACAATACACCCGGGATAATAACAAATATACTTTCTGTTATCTGAAAAATTCATGTCAAAACATGTATTTTTGCAATTAGTAAATTTATTAGACCGTTTTGTAGTTAAGTAATGTGATAAATCACAAAAATGTCATTACAAAAGAAATATCACATTCCATTTTGAATAATTTAGGTAGAATATTTATCTTCTCACATAAATAAAGCAAAAATCATACTTTTAGTATCGCTTCATCAATTTCATGTTGCTGATGAAAATAAAGAACTATAAAAGATAGAACGAAAAATCGTTATGCATCTTCACTGATCCTTCACTGGTATTTCCCTTGTAGTCGTAGACATTCAAGTTATCCGAGAAGTGCTTATTGTCCATGTTGTTCTGTTCAGCATTTCCATGTTGACCGGATGTGTCGTCTGAGGAAAGAGTAAGTTGGTGAAAATAGATCGGAACCGCATTTTGTTGTGAACCAGGTAAGTACATACATGTAATAATGTCATCGGTGTTGACATTAAGTGCCGAAGAAGTTTCACTTTGAGCATCTAAATAACTTAGATCACAAAAGCTGTTTACTTTTCTTTTCACATATTTGAAGCAAAAGTCTCACCTCTATATCGCAGTATATCATCATTCGTTTCTAATTCTCCATTAGCATCTCTCTACACATTCCTATTTGAATCTGTATATGAACCAAGTGATGAGTCCAAATTAATGTGGCCCAACAAATCATAGCTATCTGAAAAGCCAGGATGAGGAGCATTTGTGATCTCCGGTTTCGATGCTTTACTGCTTATATCCTCAATTTCACTCAACTGATCGAAATCAATGAACTGCGAAGGATCGGACAGAAATTCTGAGCTAAATAATGGTTCAAAGTTGTTGTAATCAAAGCTATTTGAGATACCAGAATAAGCATTATTTGTAATAATTGATTTTTGATAAAATCTGATCAAACCAGAACTTATTTTTGAGTTCTATATATAAAAACTAGTACAAATTGCAGCATTTTCTTAATATCAATATTTAAACTTGATATAAAATTTAATTTTAATTGCAAAAATGATTTAAAACTGTGACTATTAATTTCGTGACACAAATAGATTTAATTATTAAAGTTTAATTTATTATTTAAGTTGAAAAATGACCACACCGAATGTGACCAGTACCCATACAGAGCATAGAAAATAATCAATTAAGTTCAAATTATGTCTTTTTTCTAATTAAATTATATTTTTTAGTAGTTTAAAAACTTAATTAAATCTCCACCTAATAGTCTGAATCGATTTTTCTTCAGAAGTATTTCTGCCTGCGACTGTAACTTCTTAATACGTAAGAATTTGGAATTCGGTTTGAAAGATTTAATATTTTTCCGAAACAATTCATTTCTCAAACTTGAAGCTAGTTAGTTACTCATCACAACTGGATGCTAACAATTGAATAGCATATCCGTGTAAAGCAAGAGCTCATAGTTTAGTTCAGTATTTCTTATAGCCATATTCTATAACTTGGGGTTCAGCGTAGAATTAGGGTGGACGATTAAAAAGCCTGGTGGTTGCCTTACTTAATTTTTCCTGTATTTTCCTTATTGACTTTATGTTTTGTTAATAATAATTTTTCAAACTATTGAATTATACATCGCATAAGAAGATAGCACTTAATTTTTTTCTTTTGGTTCATGTTTTCATTTTGCTGGTAACTTTCTCGACTTGGAATTGTTTTAAACATTTGTTAATCCTTTTTAATCCTTTCATTTCGTTTCTGCTTTTATTTTTTATATTTCAATCTTTTTTTTTTTTTTTTTTTTTTGCTAATATTTCTAATTTTTGTTCGTAATTGTTGATAAAAAAGTGAAAAAGCGAACCTTTGCTTTTAGAAAGGTGCTGAAACAATTTCAGATTTTAAAGCCAATCTTTGAAGGTGATATCAAACTTGCATAAATGATGCTGAATACATATGTGAAAATAGAAACTATCGTGTAATACGATGCTTTATTTTGAAAGGCATAAGTATAAAAAGTTAAAGAATGTAGGGGTAAGTCATTAAGGGATAGTATGTATTTTGTTACGATAGCATGAAAACATTTCTGGATAGTGTAATCTGCCATCCATCCATCGTGATGAGATGAATCAAATGAAACAAGTTCTGGATAAAAGTGATTAGCATTGCAATAAGCTAACATTCCGGTTCCAATCCGGTTATTTACTAATTAGCTTATGTTTAGCATTGTTATCTGTTGCATTAAATGAATTAGCTGCAATAATACAGCAAAATTTAGATAAATGACGCATCATGCATGAATGATTTTATTACGCTTCATTAGTTCAGTTTTTTTACATCTATATTATATTATTTCTAATTAATTAGAACCTTTTCCCTCCTCTCTCTCTCTCTCTCCCTCTTCCTTTCTCTTTCTTTAATTTTCATCAATCATCTCAATCCATCTACAATTTTTCAATTATCAAAGCAACTAGTAACACATTTTATATTTGTCCACAAGATTGAATTGATTCTTACAGATTCGTTAAATTTATCTTTACAGATTTAATCATCTATTTAAAGAGAAAAAATTTTAATTTATAAATTAAATTTCTAAATTTTCACTCTTATTCTTGCTTTTTTTCTCAAAAAGAAAAAAAAAAAACTTCAAGTATATTTCTTACTTTTGGATCAGTATTTATTAATAAACAAATTTTTCAAAAAATTTTAACGATTTTTGAATAAAACGAAAAATATAAAAATTAATTAAATTTTTGTTCTTTTTTCCCATTACTTTATTTGAGTAAAAATTAAAGTAAAAAACTAAGGTAATATCAGTTATTTATTTAAACAACTTATTTTTTGCATATTACTCAATTTTGTAAATTATTTTTAACAGCGAAAAAGAAATTTTTTCTTTTAATTGAAGACAATAAATTTTTTTTCTAAAATTATTCATTCAAATTTTATATTTATTTATTTATATCATTTTTAATTGATTCCATCAATTTGAAATATCAATTTATTTTTTTGTCATCATTTTTTGTTAATTTTTTATTAAATATTACTTCATTAGAATACAATTATTTTGCTTCATTTTATCATTTCAATGATATTTTAACTTATTATTTTGGAATAACTGAAATTGTAACTAATTTCAATTTAAATACAATTTCGATTCAATTCAATTTGTAAATGATAGCAAAGATCGTTAGCTATACTTGAAAAAGATGGAAAAAAGTAATAAAAAACATTTTATTATTATTTATTCAATATATTATTTAACAATTTCTTTTTTTCCCAAAGTACATAATGCTTTTATTTATTTTTATAATTAATGAGGAATATTTTTTCAGTTTAGACAATTGTTGATTTTACTTTTACAGATTTCAATTTTCTTTTTTCTTCCCTTTTTTTCTCTTTTAATAATTACTTTGCTAAGTGCTTCATCGGTTGCTATGGATGAAAAAGTATGGCTTACCATGAACTTATTATCATAGCTTTAGATGACAACTGATCGTCGTACGACAAGAAGTAAAAGTTACAAATGTAAGCTCAACCATTAGCTATTATCATTTATTACTATTATCAATTAACAATTGTTATTTCAGATATTCATTAAGAGAATAAACTATTCATATTTCATTCGTTATTTATAACTATTTTTATAAACTAGTTGTCTTATTATCCACCAGCTTTAAAAAAAAATACTAAAATGTTAATCAAAAAATCAATTGATAGGTATACCGTATCAATTCGGCAAAAATTATTTTACATTAAATTAATCTTTAATATATGGCGATCATTTGGCAGATGTTAATAAATTCAAAAACCACCTGCACGATTTCAAAAAATTTTTTCAAGATTATCAACTATATAAAAGAAACCATTTTGAATTCTATCAATTCGTTTTGTGAATTTAACTAAAATTTTTTGTAATATATAAAATTATAAGATATAAATAATTTCGCACTGATTTAAATCTAAATATGTGTTGATGCATACATATACATATATATGCAAGCGTGTAAAGACGTACGCATATCTGCGTGTAAACATATGCAAAGGAATTTTAAACAATAGATGAAATAGACAGAAAATTTTAGGCACTATTTTAATATTGCAAAATATTTTGCTTTCTACATAATTATTTGCTTCTGCTTGCAAATTGTTTCCGACATATCATTTTGATTAAGTTTTTACATCAAATAGTAGTTATTGATTCACTTACTTGTAATTGAATTATGCTTAACATAAAGCAATTCTGTTTACTGATAAATGCTTATGTTATGACGTCAAGATGCAATATGCTTTTATCTTGCTGGTAAAATTATTTGATAGACATATAAGCCTGTAATCTTATTGGTAAAATTATTTGATAGACATAATTTTGTGTTTTTGTGTTTTTTTTTTTTTTTTTTTTTTTTTTTAATTTCAAATTAGCAATTATTTTATGAAACAATTTTTAAGAGATGCAAAAAATGGCGAAATATTTCATGCGTAAACAATTGAAATTATAATTGTGCAATATTTAAAGATAAAAAAAAAATAGGAAAAAGCGAAGCAAAATAAGTGCATTTTTCTTTTCATTTGTTTGTCATTAATTTAATTTTAATTAAATTTATTTTACTGTTTCATCGTTTCGAGCTTAATTCAGATCAGCCTCATACATTTGCAACATTTTTCTTAGTAAATACAATTTATATGTGTTATTTCGAGAATAATTTAACTGTCAGCTATAATTAGTCAGTATCGTTTGAATAAACAGCTGACCATTGATCCGTTTAATGCTATGTTATTTTAACGTTTAATTAAAAATATCTATGCTTCATTAGAGGAATATAATGCTCGATGCATAATATAGATGTCGGCAGGATATATTTAAACTTAGCATAAATTTAACTAATAGGAATTTAATCAAAAACAATGAAAATGGTATTAAATAACTGAATGAAAATGAATCAATCAAATAAATGATTAGTAATCAGTTAAAAGTTTATTATATCAATTATATAATGAAGGTACTCTTCTTTTTGTTTTTTTTTTTTTTTTTTAATCAATTCTAGCAATTTTGGAATTGCATTCAATGAAATTTGTGAATTAGTCAATTTTCCATGAAATTGCTATGATTTCATTTATTATTCAACAGCAAAAATAAAGCAGCTAAATGAATTGTTATAATTTTTAAATAAACTATTTTAAATTTGAATATTTAAATTGTAAATTTGAATCGTGTAAACTCAATGATTCAAAATTTATACATTTCTTATTTGGTTCAAACTTTTTTGCTTCTTTTTTCTTTTTTTGTCCTTTTCATTTTGTTCTATTTATTCTATTATCATTCATTCATTCATTTATCTTTTCCATTTGAATACTTCCTTCAAAATCTATCCAAATGAATCTTTCTCTTTTTCTCTTCTTTTTTTTTGTTATTTTTATTCTTTTTTTTTTTAAAAAAAAAGAAAGATTTACAAATTTCAACCATTCAAATATTTGTAGTTTTTTTTATTATTTACTTGAGTTCTGTTTTTAGCACAAAAAATTTCAATTTAGTTCGTTCCTTTTTTTCCTTTTTTGCTGTTTTTTTGTTTACTTGTAATTTATCAAATAAGAAATTTAAATGAAACGATTATTCGTTGAAATGCATATCAATGATTATGATAAGTGTTTAAATGATTATTCGTTGAAATGCATATCAATGATTATGATAAGTGATTAAATGATTATTCGTTGAAATGCATATCAATGATTATGATAAGTGATTAAATGATTATTCGTTGAAATGCATATCAATGATTATGATAAGAAAAATATTGAAATGCATATCAATGATTATGATAAGTGTTTAAATGATTATTCGTTGAAATGCATATCAATGATTATGATAAGTGATTAAATGATTATTCGTTGAAATGCATATCAATGATTATGATAAGTGATTAAATGATTATTCGTTGAAATGCATATCAATGATTATGATAAGTGATTAAATGATTGTTTAGTTTGTTAAGAAGAAAATGTTATTATTTAAAGACTTAAGAAAAGAAAAAAGCGCTTTTTCCCTCTTTTGCCGAAAACAATTACAAAACCTCAATTCCTATTTCATTGTGTGTAGGTGTATGCATGTATGTATATATATGTGTGTGTGTCTGTGAATTATTTTATCAATTGCAGAATTTTTCAATTAATTTCAA